ATTTTCAGACATTCACATCTTTAAATATTTATTTCCTAAGGACCCTTTCTTCTAAACCTTCCCAGGTATTTTCCAACTCTAACTAAGCAAGAGAGATGGGCATTATGATTTGTGTTTATTTGGATTAACTGTCTGCTTATGAAAGGGTCACTATTTTAAGGAGCATACAATCAGAGTCCTGAGAGCCTGTCAGTCTCAATATCTGCCAAAATCACAGATTACTGAAAAATATGAAATGCCAGCAAAGCATAACTCATATTCAAGGGGAAAAGTCAATAAAGATGGTCTCTTAAATGCTATAGACGCTGAACTTAGTAGACAAGGATTTTAAGGCAGCCATTATGTCTGTGCTCAGAAAGTAAAAAGGAATCTTTCATGGAATGTGTCTTTTCCAAATAAGAGAGTGAAGTTATAAAGAGCACAGTGAAAATAGAGCTCCATGCTTAGGTGGAGAGAAGTCTAGAGGCTCTGAGGCAGCAGCAGGCAAGCACCACAGAAAGGAGAGCAAGTGCTGAGGGGTGCGTGTCTCCCAGATCTTACACGAGATCCTAATGGTACCCAGGGGTGTGGGCCTCCCAGGTCTTGCATTGGGTCCTAGCAGTGCCCAGCAGTGACAGCCTTCCAGGTCTTGCATGGGGTGCCAGCAGTGCCAATGGGTACATGGTGCCCAGGTCTTGCATGCAGTGCTAGCAGGTTCACAGAATAGTAAGCCAGGAAAAGAAAGGGAGACAAGGTAATTATTATCTTCAAGGACAGCCAAGAAAATAAATTCTGAAGATAAACTTGATCATCTTGCTAAGCCATTGACAATGTTCATGTAGTCAATGAGCAAGTACCAGCTTTATGTTCAACAGAAAGACAAAATCTGATGGAGAGGAAGATAGATGTTAAATTCAGAGACTCTGAGATCACCAAATCGTCAGCCTCATAGTAAGTCAGGTTATGATAGCTAAACTGAAAGTAAAGCCTTGTAAATTTATTTCAGGAGATTCAGTTTATTTCTAATGAGAGCAAGAGTTGGAAGTGGTTGCAAGTAGAAATGCTTTGACTGCATTTGACTTTTTCTGTCATATACTTTCTAGAAAAAAATTTTAACTAGAATTTAATATTTATACTTGACACAATTTCAGTATATAATAACTATACTACTGGGAAGATGGTTGTAGCTAATAAATCCATGGCGTATGATCATTTGGAGACACTGAAATGTAGAAGCCGGTCAATAAAAATCCCCCACAGCCTGAATTGGGGTGAACACTGTGGAGTAGAATGCATAGTCCCAGCCCTGGGCAGACCAATAAAAGATCAAGCTTTGATGAAAATGTTAACAAGTGGGAGAAATCCCACATTAGTGTCGTTGGCAATAGCGAGAGTTGAAATGTTTGTTTATAGAACGGAAGATTAAACTTGATGTGGCATATACCAACAATCCCCAAACCCAGGAAACTGAGGCAGGAGGATCAAGTTTAAAACCAGCTTTGCCTACATTTTTTGCAAACAAAAAATACACTTGAGATAGCATGTGTGGTCCATTGTACCCTTTAATAGGATCAACCTCCTAATAAAGTATTCTGAACTACTTAAAATATAAACATTTAGTTTTAAGTTAGGTGAATTTTTTTTATCTTTCCAATAGTTGTAACGAGTACAACCACCCCTTTTCTGAGCAAAAGTCCTGATCTGAAGAAATTGAAACACCTTGATTGAACTACACTTATGGTGGAATTATATTGTCTTTCTGAAAAATAGTTTACTAAGTTCCCAAGTACCATTTTGCCAAGTTAAAAAAAGTCAGTTGATTATTAAACTAACCACTAGGCTTAAAGTATTGGTCTATGCCACAATTTCTAGCCTATTTTGTATAAATGAATATTTGTTGTAAAAACTAGAAAATGTAGTATCATTTCATAGTAGTTTAATTATTGCGGGAAAAATTTAATTTCCATTTATTTTTGCAAATTGAGAATGCAAATAATTTAGTAATAGTAGAGGATCATGGGCCAGTTTAATGGCTTAGCATGGGAAGGGCCTTGTCCCCAAGACTGACACCCTGAATTTAATCTCTGGAACACATGCGGTGGAAGGAGATAACGAACTCCTTCAGATTGTCCTCTAACTTCTGCATGTGTGCCCACATTCTCACATACACACACACACACACACACACACATCCTGTGTGCCCACATTCTCACACACACATACACGTATCCTGTGTGCCCATATTCACACACACACACACACACACACACACACACACAAATAAATAAACAAATAAATAAATAAATGGAAAACATTGCATTTTATCCTTATTAACACCCATTTATTCATATATACATGTACACAATGCTGGCCAGGAACTGTGTATCAGAGAGAACATGCAGCTTTTGTCTTCTGAGTTTGGGTCACCTGGCTTCTATACTAGAAAAGAGGCCAAGAGTTGGTAAGAAAAAAAAAAAATAGGTGATGAGGAAGGATGAGGGTAGGAACGTGAAAAAGGAAAAGAGACTTGGGTATGGAAAAGTTATAAAGGGAACTTAGAGGCAGCAAAGAGATGGGGAAGAGAAACACTGAAACACTTTGTTTAAAAATGCATAATGATATCTGATCCCTCATATGCAAATTTTTAAAATAAAAATACATTTAAAAAATTTTAGAATGAGTACACAATCAACTTTCTTTCACACTGAAACATTAGGGACATCCTGATGTCAGCCCTCTTGTGTTCATGTGGATACAGTGACCATGAGCTGTGCACCCATGCATCTGCAGTGCCAAGGTGCCAACTTGTACTTCATACCACTTAATGAAGATTGGATTTCACTCATGTTGGTAGACATAGAAATTTTAGGAAAATAAGCCAATTTGTGATATATATGTTTATATGATTTTAATTAGACACTAAATTCTTCTTCTTCCTTACTGGAGAAGAGGTGAGCATTTAGGAGAGGTAATTCTGGAGCCCAGAACATATCAGTCCTAAGCAGGTCCAAACTGTAGGGCCAGAGGCAGTGGGAATGCTCATAGTGTGAGTGGTAGAAAATGTTCCTTTAGATGCGGGAAGTTAGAAAAGCCCATAGTGAGCTAGGTGTGGTAGTGGCCTAAGTCTTTAATCCCAGCACTCACTAGGCAGAAGCAAAGTGACCTCTGAGTTCAGGGCCAGCCTAGAGTAGGCCATCCAGATTACATAATGAGACCCTGTCTTTACAAGGAAAGAAAAAACTGTATATGTATCAATTGGTTCTGAAAAAAAAATGGTACAAGATGTTCAGTCTTTATTACATTTCTGGTTATTGCATTTGCAATCTGACATTTTAGAGAGTATTATAGAGATCATTGTGTATGGATAACCCTTGATTTACTAGGGGAACCTATTAGAGACACATATTTCACCTGTTCCTTTGTTGGCATGAATATCATTTCTGATGTCTATAGTTTTTCATGTAGGCACCATTTCTTCATCTGTGAAAATAAGAATATATTTATGTGCTGTTCCCTAGTTCTCTCTGTATGTGTCCAGAGAAATGGATATGTATCTCATAGTTGCCACACTGCCTGAATGCATCTAAGACTGTGATGGAAATATTTTTATTTGAAAAATGGATATATAAACATTTCCTTGACATTCTAACAGTTTTCAAGGGGGAAAGCGTGTTCATGGTAAAAAACTGTTAAGTTTCTTTCAGGAGAGATATATCATCTTTTCAACCCCCTCCTTAGGTTTCTTCTTAAATGGCTCACAGTTAAATTTAAATTCTATATTTAGATAGGATTCTGTTTATATCCCAAGTACCAGTATTCAGGAAATCCAGTGGGAAAGCCGACACAGGAAGAGTTGAGAGCCGTTCTCTAGTCTGCTGCTCATTCTGAAATGGCTGGAAGCTTATTTAGTGAGCAGAATGGCTTAAACATTCAAGTAGAGGTCCTACCGCACAGATGACCATTTAATTTCAGATGGCGACAGTGGCAGTGTGTTCTCAGGGGTGTGTGTTGTTTTTTTACTCCATTTAAAGGAAGGTATGTGGTGGGGGTGGGAGAGCAGCTTTCATATGTAAATATGTTTATAATACTTAAGATGGGGGAGTTGGTTTTGTGCAATCAGCATGGTTTGATCAAATTTGGAAGAATTTACAGGCACATTTTTCTCACATGTGCTCCAGCATCTTGATTTTTTTCAGATGGACCTATTTTATGTTCCTTCCAACTAATCAAAATAAGAAACTGAGTTTGCCTTTGCCAAAAACTAGAACTATCATTTTTCACATTCTTTTATTTTCCAGGTCATTTTCAAGTAAGATTATGTTTCTAGGGCTTCTGAATTCCTGAAAACTCTCAGCTTTGCAACTCTGAAGGCCCAGATGGACATTTCAGGGGATCTAGCTTTTCAGGCGGTGTGTTTTGCTTTGTGCATCCCAGATACAGTTCACTTTTGTGTGCGTGTAATTAGTGTGGAAAGAAATTAATGCCGTCCAGTATTATGATTTATGGACTGAATCCTTTAGCCACTGAAGACTTGCCAAAGCGAAAAGTATTTTTTTTTCCTTTGGATATTAGAAACAGCTTCTGTTTTTGTTGATCTTTAAAATCCTGAATGGGGCTATTTCACATCACACCAGCATGGGAGCACAGATTAATAATATACTTATTCAGCTAGTGATACTAAGCGAAACCATTGCACACATGGGTAGGAAGGATGAAATTTCATAAAATTATTTTCATGTGTATTAATGTATTTCTGGAAGCTGCATATGATTTTTCTTTTGTATGAAAGAGATGACGGATTTCTGTTTATTGTATCTATTACAGGTGGTCTCATAAGCTAATTTAATTGCATTTTTGGATATCTTAAAGCATAGGGAGTTTTGCTTTAAAAAGCAATAACATGATTGCTGAATTATTCCCCGGGACCTTTATTGTAGTGGATTTATCTCTCTTGAGACATTGTGATTGTACCATGTGTAATTTATATTTCTAAGACAATTTCTGCATTTTCTTTGTTGTAGTTACAGCAAGCTGCAGAAGTCTCTCAACTGAGGGGAGCAAGGGTGATCTCTGCTGAAGATCTTCTGTTCTTGATGAGAAAAGATAAGGTACTATAAAATAATTAATTCCATTGTATTAAACATGAGGCCTGATCTTAATTGAACTTACATAAGGAAGTGATGGGCCCTCGTTACAGCTTTCAAGTGAGAATTGTAACCACTGAAGCAATGTTTAGCTTTCACGATGTGCACTACAGAACGCATTTACTACAAAAGTTGTTTGCTTTTTACATGAACAGATCTTTGATGCCAATACTGCACTGCAGTTAATCTTACTACTCCTTGTACTTGTTCAGATATTTTGACTGCTGTCTCATGTCCCCTAGGTACCAGCTAATCTCTGTTCTTATACACAGGGTCTCTCTGAGTATCACATTTCCTTTTCTTCTCAGTTTTCACCTTAATACTAATAGAATTCAGACTTTAACAGAATTGATTTTAATTTGAAATACAAAGTTTATTCTCTGCACCGACTTATAAAAATAAGCAAATTAATGCAAGTAGCTTAAAAACTATTATCATTTTGATTTTTAAATAAAACCTGAACTCTGGATATTAAGACATTAAAGCTGATATTTATATGTTTATTTATGTCATAATTTTCTTTAAGTAGCTAGTTAATAAATTCTGTGCTGCTTTACCTGTTGTAATCAGCCAACTGTTTATTAATATGAAGAATATGTAAAGAAGAAAAAGAAGTGTATTCAATATCAAAAAGCTTGGAGTCTGTCTGCTTAAGGCAATCTATGTGATATGCTTGAAACATTTAAGACTTGGAGAATTTCATGGGTTGGATAGTTAGAAGGGGAGGGAGGGATAGTGCAGTGAAGGATTATGATGACAGAGGTGAGGCTCCTCAGGCCTTATAGAATATAGACCAATGGCCAGGAACCTGACCTTTGCATAGATACTATGGTGGCTTTGGGCATGGCTGGGAAAAGGCACTTTAGGGAGACATGAAGAGACTTAGTAGGAATTGCCAGTTTGTTCTGTACTTGGAGAGTCCTTAAGAAGAAGCAGCCATCAGCACCCAACATGGGGTTGTATCCAGGGAGTCCTGAAGGCTGCTGGCAACAATAAGCCCCTTAGGAATGGTTCCTGTGGGAGCAGCCAGGAAATAACACCACTGCGTAGCTCTCCCTAGCATGTCGTGCCTGCATTTCCTTTCCACTGACAAAAGTAAAGAGAGAAGCGCTCACAGTCCGCACTGTCATTCCTTCCCTTGTTATGAAGATGGCCATTTATAGCCTATAGAAACTTCCGAAATATATGCCACTTGATGGTGCCTTTCTGGTGTCCAGGACTCTTACCAGAATGTTGTGAACAACCAACAACATATTTATACCAGAATTGTTGTTTGTTTCCTCATCTTTCCCAAATTATTTTATTTGCATTCTGAAGTATTCCCAAATGAATACAAGCTAGCTTATAGAGGAAAACTACTAAGCAGGATAGAACTAGAACAATGGGTGCAGTGAAAGGGAGAGGAAAGGAAACAAATGAAAACAGGTGCCTGTAGGGTGTAGTCTGGCTGTCCCTTAGTAGCTGGAGTCTGTAGCCCAGTGTTATACCACCTGCAGTGCCTTAGAGATTCTGGGGTGAGGTCTCCCCTGGTCTCTCATGATGCCTGGGCAGCAGGCCTGTGAGGTGGGGTCACATGACAGAACTGACTCTGAGGCTGTCCTCTCCTGCAGCCCTGCTGAGCTTCAGTCATCAGTCTGTAGTTCGCTTCAGGGTCCCTCCATAAAAGGAGACGCTAGATTTGTTTCTGATTCAGGGAGACTAAAAATGTTGAGTGATGTTCATGTAAAGAGCTTTGTACAGTGTTTCCACTGTTAGAAATCTGAAGCCTGGAGATGGTGAACCAGGGGTTATACCTTCTAGGGTCCGTACAGAATACATTGAGAGCATTATTAGTTTCTTAAAGCTAAGTGCTACTATCATCCTCTTCTAACCCCAGAAGACCATCGTTGAAACCTACCAATCATTCGCGGGCCTTGAGTTTCCTAAAGATAGATCCCTCAGCTTATACATACTTTCCATAACTGTCCTATGAAAAGATTCTCAGGCCACGTCTGCTGGTGCATGCCTTTTACTTCAGCACTAGGTAGGCTGAAGCAAGATGATTACAAGTTCAAGTTCAGCCTGGGCTACACAACATGGTATTATCTCATAAATTAAATATAAAAATGAGTTGTTAAAAGCTCCTAGTCTAGATATTTATAAATCAGTTTTACATAACTTTTGTCTTAGAATATATTCAAAATTCCAAAGTATAAGTACACTTGTCTTACCAAAGGGAATATGGTATTTATTGAAATCATCAAAAGGAATTTAAGATGTTTTCGAAAATATACAAAAAAAAAGTATTATTGTGATTCTGGAATGTCTGGATGGATGCTTGTGAGAATGCCTTTATAAACTCTTACATTTTAGCTGTCATCGAAGGGCTACAGTTTTGCTTATACTATTAAGCTAATGATAGTTCTGTTTTCCCCAATGATCATCAGATAATAGCTTATTAAATTTAATTCTTAAAGCAATCTTTTATTAGTAAAGAAAATGTATTATAAACTTTTTACTTTATATCCCAATAGAAAAAACTTAGAAGACTTCTAAAATACATGTTTATCCGAGACTACAAATCAAAGATCATCAAAGGCATTGACGAGGACGATCTCCTGGAAGGTAACTAACCAAAACACAAGCCCAAATGAGTCAGCTCAATCACCCAGAGGATGGGGGAGGACGTTCTCCTCACGGATTTCTTTTCATTAACACAGTCTGGCACTTGTTGCGAGTTAACCTTGTGATTTTCTCCTCTGGAACCTCATAGGACCCAGGTATCTCAGCCCCTTCTTTTCAGGTGGACACTGCTTTCCAACTGGTTCAGTATGCTACCAAGGTTCAGCACAGGAAGAGGCAGACCATAAGAGCTGAGAATTCTACAAGTCTCCTTAAGGAAATTCTTTGGAGCAGACCATGTGGAAATTCATACCTAGGACTTCTAAATGTTAGCAGTCCTGGCAGCAAACTAAAGGCTAGGAGATCCACTATACAGCAACAAGCAAAAGAGTGGCAAGCTCAACAGAGGAGACAAGGAGGAATAACTAGGAACATCAAAGCAAAAGGATCAGCATTAGCCCACTAAAATGTGGAGATTTTACTCCCAGGAGTATTAATAAAAAGCAGTAGCTCAGAGGCTAAGAGTACTTACTGCTGTTTCAGATTACCTGAGTTTGGTTCCCAGCACCCATGTCAGGCAACTCACAACCACCTGTAACTCCAGGTCCAGGGAACCTAAGGCCTCTGGCCTCTGTGAGTACCTGCACTCACATGCACATACCCACATGCAGACATACACAAACCTACATGGCACGTAAATAATAAGTCTCTGAAAGCAAAGCATTTGTATCCAGCTTGCAATTACTGGGAATTAGCGCCTCTGTTTGGTACTCTGTCAGATCCGCCCAAAGCTTTATGGGGAGCTTGAAAGTGAGAGCCAAAGGCACTGTAAAGCTAGTGATGGAAGAGGATGCACACGCACGTCTGCACCATGGGGGAGGTGAGAGACACCGTCACACTATTGAGAGATCTCTTCTGCCTGTCTAGCCAACTCACTAAACAAAGAATCAAGGACAAGCACACCAAAAGGAAGAAATGGTTGCCTGAGTTACTGTGGTATATCATCTAATATGTCCATTTTCAACCACAGCAAAACACGAGATGTGTAAAGACATGGGTAGATATGATCTGTAGAAGAAAAAAAAAAGAACAAGAAAAGTAGATAACAAAAATTGCCTTCTGGGAATCCAGATGTTGGATTTAACAGGACAAGAAATTCAAACTAATATTATAGTGTGTTCAAATAAACGGAAGAAATTGTATTCAGAGAATAACATGGAAGTATGAAAACCATGCCTCACAAAATATACAGCATCAAGAAAGAGTAAATATAAAATATATAATAATGGAGTTTAAATATAAATACAGTAAGTGAGATAGCTCAGGAGCAAAACTTAGCACCTAGCCTGATGATCCAAGCTCAACAAGATGGTGGGAAGAAAGAACAGATTCCTGGCAGTTAAACCTCTGATGAAAATGCCATGGCATGCACACATACAGTCGACATATAAAATTAATTAAAGAACAATAGGAAGATGGAAGCTAACACAACAGAAGCTTTGAACTGGTAGAAGAACCAGTGAGTTTACATTAAAAATTATATAATCTAAAGAATCATTAAAACTAATAAAGTTGACAGAGCTTCAGTGAAATGCAGGGCACTATTAAGTACATCAGCAAATACTATATCAGAAGGGAAGGGGTATGCAATACAGTAGTGTATCAGCTTGTGCTATATCAGAAGGAAAGTGGTTTTTAGTACACTAATGCATTAGCTTATACTATTTCAGAGGAGAAAGGGTACATAGTATACTAATACATGATCATGTACTATATCAGAAGAGAAGGCATATACAGTACACTAATACATTATCATATATTATATCAGAAGAGAAGGGGGTATACAGTGCATTAATACATTAGCATGTATTATATCAGAAGAGAAGTATACAGTATGCTAATACATCAGTATATACATATACAGTACATTAATACATCACTATAATGTATCAGAAGGAAAGGAACAGGAGAGAGGGAGAATAAAAGAGAGAGAATCAGAAAAAATATCCCAAGAAATAGTGAGTAGAAACTTTTAAGATTTAAGAAAATTGTTAAACACATATTCAAGTATCTAAACAAACTAACAAATTCCATTAGGACAAACTCATACTTAACTGTACTGATAACACAGTTTAGTAAAGACAGAGCTGATCATGAAAGCCATGAGAGAAGATATCTGGGGGCCTTTTGGAAGTTGTTAGATCATAAAAGGAGAACCTTTATGGTTAGGATCAGTGTACTTCTAAAAAGAGACACCCAGAACCCAGAACTCATATCCTATCTGTTAAAAAGAGGCCTTTGCTAGATACCAGGTCACCTTGACCTAGGTGCCACAGCCTATTTATTGTTTGAACTTCCCAGTCTGCAATATTATTTTATAGTAGCTTATACTGACAAAGAAAGCCCAGAAGGAAGCAGCACATTTACAGTGAAATACTGGATTCTTTCCTCCCTAACATCAAGAAAAAAGACAAAAATATGCACTTGTTTCTCTTCTATCCAATATTGTACAAAGGTTTTAGTGTATGTTTTTGCAGAAAAGGAAATGAAAACACCCATGTTAAAAAGTGAGGTTAAAGCTATGCATGCATCTGATGCAGTCTTTATATAGAAAAATATCTTAATCCACTAAAAACTGCTTAGTTGGTGGACACATTCATGATTTTTCAGGATAAAAGATAAATATGTAAATAAAACAAGTGAGTACACATTCCTTATACAATGCCATGTATAACACCATCATGAAGAATAAACTATATTGGAATAAATTTCACCAGTGACCTACAGGATTTCTACATAGAAACTAGAAATCACTATTGAGCAAAGATGGAGAAGAAATACAAAAATAACCAGTGTGCACAGCTGCAACACTTAGAATGGTTAAGGCAATAGCCATCCTCAACTGGAGCTATATATAGATCTCACCAGCTTTTGTTGAGATGAACAAACTGATTCTGTTGTTCGTGTGTAAATGTCAGATCCTAGAAATGAAAAGATTCATTTTCTAATTTGTACATGATCCAGAGTAGTCAAACCCATCTCAACAAGCAGCAAAGTTAAAGGACTCAAACTTGCTGACTTCAAAATTGTCTATAAATCTGCCATAATACCCACAGGATCTATGCTGGTCAGTGGATGATCAGAATTCAGGGCACAAGTGGGACTCACAGAGTGATGCTTGACAGGGCTTGGATAGCAGTGATATGTAGAATCAATAGCTCCTTTACCTGGAGACATTGAGGTATCTGTGACATCTAGAGATCTACATAGAAAAGAAAGAATTTGATCCCTTCAGGGTACAGTATGCCTCCAAAACAAAAGAAGAGAATACCTGAGTACAGATCATTGAGAATTCACTATAGCAGCTCAGAATACAAAATTCATTTTATTTCCATTATATCTTTATTTACTTGTTTTATATAAGCATGTGTGGGGTTGTGTATTTCATGGTGAGTGAAAGAGGTCAGAATTCAATTTACAGGAATTGGTTCTTTCCCTCTACTATGTGGGTCCTGGGGTTGAACTTAGGTCATCAGGTTTGATGGCAAGCATTTTACCTATGGAGCCATTTCTGGCCTGTCAAAATATAAAGTTTTTAAAAGAAAAACAGAACTATTGATAACCTTGTATAAGAATGGTATTTTAAATACATGACACCAAAGGCATAGTAGCAAAAGAAACTATTGAATTAGAATTGATCAAGTTTAAAGACTTCAGTGTGCTTCAAAGAGTAATCAAAAGAAAAAAAAAACAGAATAAGGAAATCTTATATACATATCTCTGCTATGGAATTTGTAGGCAAAATGTGGAAAGAACTCTTCAATTCCATAGTGAAGACAATAAATCACTTAAGAAATGAACAAAAGATCTGAGATAACTTTGCAGCAGAAATAAAGGAATAGCTAATAGACGCCAGAAAAGATGGCCAGTGTCCCAAACCATAGTGCAAATGCAAATCAGCAATAATAGATGGCTCCTCGCCTACCAGGATGTCTGTAACTAAACAGACAGACAAAGGCAAATATGGTTGAAGCTTGGAGAGCTTTAGTTTGTGATGCTAGGAGGAGGGTAAAATGGTGCAGGCACTTCAGAAAACATTCCAGAAGCTTCTCAAAAAGAACAACAGAAAAGTAAACCAGCCATTCAACACCCAATAAAGCTAAATGGAGAGAAATGCCCAGAAAAAAATTCACTTGAACATAAAAAGCAGCATCTTTCACAGTAGAACACTGGAATCAGCCCAATATCTGCCAACATATACAGACACAAATAAAGAGATAATATTAATGCAGGAATTATTTTGGGCAATAAAGTGGAACTGGATCCTGCCATGCTCTTATGTGGATGAAGTAGAAGAAACACAATCACAATGTTCACATATTCCAGATTGTCAAGTAGCAAAAGAATGGAAACCACCTGGAGTGGTTGTCTGGACCAGAACCAGCAGGTTGCACTAGGGAATCATTAAAGCAGTCTGTCAAACCTCCTAGAGTTGCAGTAGGACAGTGTCTTCTGCAAAGGTTACTATGCTCCTAGACTGAACAGTCAAGAGACAATCAAAAGGAAAACCACACCCACATGTACACGTGCACACACACATTCACACCCACACACATAATCTCATGATGCTTTAAGTGACTTTAGGATTTTGTATGGGCTTCATGCCTAGAATCCTCCAGCACTGGTTTCATTAGCTTCTGGCTTCAACTGGGATCTTTTGTCATAAGAGTTAACTGCTGTATGAAGATCTATGTCCAGACTCTACCCTGAAAAGATAACATATGGATTTGTTAATAATACCTTGGTCAGAGTTGCATTTACTTCTGTCTTTATTAAAGGACAAAAAAGAAACCTTGATTTAAATTAGCAGGCACATAAGTATGAAAAAGTTTTCTAAAATTATTTTTTCATTATAAGCATACTTATCATTCTAAACATTTATTAACATATTCATAGCAAATACCAGATAATTGATACTTATATATGGCAATGCTTGAGACAAC